ATAGATTCATATATATTAGTACAAGTAAGACCTATTTGTAATTACAGGATCGAGCTTTGGGGCTCTACTAAACCATCAAATTCCTCTCGTATCCAATCCTTACAATCCAAAATCCTTCGTAAAATCCTCAATGCTCTCTACTTTGTAAAAAATAAAATCATCCATAACGACCGTAATGTACCATATCTTTCCGATTTGGATCAATCCAGATACCTATCCTTCCATAATAAACTTCAGAACCATCCGAACCCTCTTGTTTTCTCTTTTATTCCTGATAACATTCCGAGTCGTCTGAAAAGAAGATGGCATGGGACCTTCTAATATAGAAATATAATTGGAGTCCTACCAATGGATATTTTCTCTTCATATTGTATATGTCATGTTACTTATTTCATTTTTACTTGTTGTATTTATCATTTAATACAGTTGTAAATTTCATCAATTAAAAAAAAAAGTTAATACGAAGTGGGTTAATTAGAAAAATAAGACACTTTTGACTGCGAGCTATAATTAGCCAGTTTCTTAAAATATTTTTTTTTTAAATCATCACAGTTGAATATTTTAATTTATTCAGTTTGTACAAATGTAAATTAAGGCTATAAATAAATCTATTTGAAGAGTTTCTGGTTTTATTTGTTCACTGTAAATATTTAAGTATTTTTTGTATTCTTATACGGAGTGTATCTATATACACATTCCTATATACGTATTCGTAAATCTTTTGGAAGTATAAAGCTTATTCCGCTTATTACATGTTTATTAAATGTTGATTAGTTGCAAACTGTCTGTTACTGGTACATTACTTTTTTAAGTGAAAACTTCTTTACGTCAGATTTCGGGTGTGTAACGCTCGGACCTTCTAATATAGAAATATAATTGGAGTCCTACCAATGGATATTTTCTCTTCATATTGTATATGTCATGTTACTTATTTCATTTTTACTTGTTGTATTTATCATTTAATACAGTTCTAAATTTCATCAATTAAAAAAAAAAGTTAATACGAAGTGGGTTAATTAGAAAAATAAGACACTTTTGACTGCGAGCTATAATTAGCCAGTTTCTTAAAATATTTTTTTTTTTAAATTATCACAGTTGAATATTTTAATTTATTCAGTTTGTACATATGTAAATTAAGACTATAAATAAATCTATTTGAAGAGTTTCTGGTTTTATTTGTTCACTGTAAATATTTAAGTATTTTTTGTATTCTTATACGGAGTGTATCTATATATACACATTCCTATATACGTATTCGTAAATATTTTGGACGTATAAAGCTTATTCCGTTTATTACATGTTTATTAAATGTTGATTAGTTGCAAACTGTCTGTTACTGGTACATTACTTTTTGAAGTGAAAACTTCTTCACGTCAGATTTCGGATGTGTAACGCTCGGATAAAGCTGGCTGGAGTTGAATTCTTGAAGTTTTTTGAATATGGATTAAAACATCTCCAATACTTAAAATCAGACCTGTATTTCATCCTCTTTGTAATGAACTATTATTCAAAATCGTGTCTTAATGCGACGTCGCGTTAGACAGGCGAAAAGGAAAAATTTGTGTCGAAAATCAAATGATGACGAGTTTCAATGAAAATATGGTTTAAAATATATTAGAAACTAAAAAGCGGACCTGCATACTGTAAGCAAGGGAGTTGTTTAGCATTTTATCTGTAATGAGTTATTATTCAAAATTATATGTTAATGCGACGTCGTATTAGAGAGGAGAAAAGAGGAAAAAAACAGTGTCGAAAACCAAATTATATCAAGTTTTACGGAAGATATGGTTTAAAATATTTCAGAAACTAAAAATCGGATATGCATACTTTAAGCTAGGGAACTGTTCAGAATTTCATCTTCTTTATAATGAGCTATTATTTGTAATTTATATTCTATATTATAAATCTTGTTGATCTTTTAACTTCTATCGTGTGACCTAAAGCATATACTTTAGTTTTTTTATGTATATTTTTTATAGAATCACATTTATAACAAAAGTTAAGTTACCGTAAAAAATAAACCGTGAATTGAAAAAGATTTATGGGAGCGATACGACCGAACGGTTATAGAGAACCACTTTGCGACCTTTCAAGCCACCGTAATGACAAATCTTATTTTCCACCGGTTTACTTTCCATCGATCGTCAGTCTGGTCATCTCACCAAGTGCTAACTCGGATTAGATTTTCTGCCTTTTGACTTTAACAAATAATATTCCTCAGTTTTTAGCAATATTACGAGCGTACTATGTTAGAAAATTAGCGATGGCTGAAACGTATGAATTTTAAATATACACAATATATATAGTAAGATATTATTTATCGGCTCGCAGGAGGTATTTCGATGAATGAAGTATGAAACGAATGTGAATTCCATGGAAAAGTGACGAATCCTAATTTCGATCCTAATTTTTTTTACTACTGTAATAATTTAACAGGGAACTCACATACTAGACTTAAAAGACAAGAACTCAACCGACGATATGGCCAGATGTATTGACTACTGAATAGAAAATCTCAACTTGCAATTGATAACAAATTACTGATCTAGTAGACAATACTGAAACCTATTTGGATCTACGGACCTATCCTTCCATAATAAACTTCAGAACCATCCTAATTATTTCGTTTCTAACCTTGCTTCTTCCTCGATCTCTGATAATCCTCTAAGGCGTCTGAAAAGAAGATGGCCTCGTGATCTCCTAATTTAGAAACTTTATTAGAGTGCTACCAATAGGTAGATTCTGTACAAGCTAGATTTCTCTGTATAAAATTTGCTGTATGTATATTAATTTGTACAGTTGTAAATTCCATAAATAATAATAAAAAAATAATTATCAATATTTTGGACGATTACAATGGTTCATGATTGAAAATAATAAGTCAAAATTGAAATATTTTTATTTATGACAGTAATTAACAAGCTAAAATTTAGTTAAGAAGTTAAATGGTGGAGGATAGTTCTTTGATCACTCAGGTAGTTCATATAATATAAAAAAAAATATCCAGGTCATGGCTTCCATACTCTTAGTAAGTAGAAAAACTACAGACTAAGGTTCTTCTGCACAAAACGAATAGCTCTCCAGCGAGTACAATAATGGATTAGTATGAGTTTTCATGGATAGCTGTGTCTTATTGCTTATTATTTATTTATTTCTTATATATTATTTATTTATTGCTTATATATTATGCTGGACGGATATTTTTCATTGAGACAAGCTGATCACTTAGATAGATCTAAAATAACTTTATTCTGGGACAAAGTCCCTTCAGAATAACAAAATCGTACCCAAAGAAAAGATTATTTCTGGCCTAAATGTTTAATTTAATATATAAAGTTAAATGTAAAGATAAAAGAAAAGAAAATATTAAATGAACTTGCTATATAATACGATGGTGAAACAGTGTAAATATATACTTCTAAGAAAAAACGGAAGGGAACAAAAATAATTAGGAAATAAAAATAAAATCAACTAAATACTTCCAATCAATAACCTACTTATAGAACTTGACACAGTCGCCTTTTCTTATATTCTTAATCGATTTTATTTTTCATATTTTATTCATTCATGGGCGATAACTTGTCAAGACGCAGTCTTTTAAATTTTTTTATTGGTGCCGACGTTTCAATCATATGGGTCATCATCAGGGATGAAAAGTTTTAATACAATCTGAAGTATAGTATTATAAGACAGATAATATTATGGGACAAAAGTCTCTTAAGAATGACATTAATTGTCAAACTATTGTATACCTTTAAGTCAAGCTGTTTTTTGTTCGTATTGACTGTCATCTCTTATTTATTTTTATTTAGTCACAAGCTAATAGCCATAATTTTGGTTTATTATTTTCAAAAATGAACATTATCTACAAAAATTCAAAAACTTAACCTCCCCTCAAAATTTGAATTTTCACGTTTCAGGATACGTAGAATTCGAAAAACAAATAAAACTTTTTTTTCCGTCCGCCTTCTGCGCATTTTCTCCGAAACTAATGGATCAAATTTTTTCAAATTTGGATTTAAAGGTCACCCGAGGATGAGTATTGGACATTTAGGAGCAAAGATATGGTCTCTAGATGATTTGTATATGTTATACTGCAAAGCTTATATCCATTGTTATGGTTTTTGATTTTTGGATGTGTTACTGAAGTAATGCTAATTTTTTTAGCGTATTACTAATGATTAAAAAAAAGAAGTTTCGTCCAATAATTGAAATCACTTTTTATTTATTTTTCTTTGTCACTAGGATGGTAATGTTACTTTAGATGTATAGTTGTTTGGAAATAATAAAGCATTGTGAAATAATTTGCAGCGTTTTTTAACTGTAGCAAAGAACATAACTATTGTACACGTGTTTCCTTCAATATCTTATTTATCAAATGATTTTCATTCCACATAACAAAAATGTTATCTAACTTTGTTTACCTAGCTTTGCTATCTAAAAAGCACATCTGGAAAATCCTCTAGCAACCCTTTTACTCACCTATCTAAGGGTACTTTAATAACTTTAGGGATCGAAACACGGTTAGTAGATGTAAATATTACATTTCTTATAAATTTATCATATACATAAATTAATTTGTATAATTTATTACATATTTCATTTGTCTATTGATGTTTAATGATACATGGTCATTATTTATTATTATCTGTCTTACATTATTAAACAATTTTAGCCCTGATGATGATCTGGGTTGAAACATCGGCGCCAATAAAAACCTTAAAAATGACTGCGTCCTGACTATCACTTATGATATGTAGAACAATCGATTAACATCATTTAATAATTCATTCGTGTAACTTAGTTGTTATCTTTTATTTAATTTTTTAAATTTTAATTATTGGAGAGATGAAACAATATTCTCGACTTCCCCCTTCAACATTTTTATTTAAGAGGGGGGGGGGGCGATCGCCATAGACTATTAGATTAGACAACTAATAATTAAGGGAGTTAAACAAATTGCTTTTTAGTGACGGTAGATGCATCGATAGAGCTGTCATTTAAGCCGGCGGGATCCGATACAGACTAGAACAGCTGTCAGGTGTGACAGTGTGATAGTGGTGTAGATGCCTGTTGCTGTCAGCTGTTTGGCCTAATTTATATCTAATCGAGCTGTCATTGGAATATATCCTTGTCATCGTGTCTCCTCTGAACAATTGATAAACAATGCCTGTCTGTCCACGTTCATGTCATATAAATTATATTTTTTTAAACATTTATTGAAATTTGCAATCGTATAAATAAAATAAATCTTTCAAATAAATTACCAATTGTTAGCACTTCACTGACTAGATTAATTTATGAGGTATCTTAGCCATCATTTTTGGACGCCTCGGAGTTGTTTTGAATGAAAGGTTATGATGACCAAAGAGTTTGGAATTATTGATACAAATTTGTATTATTTTATATACTGATTTATATATATATTCAAATTTTATATTTATGTATCATCCTGGGCTAAGAATGTTGTTCTACTACTTTAGTACACGATTAAGCGAAGCGACACGAGGCTTGTGTGTTAGGATTGTCCGCTAAAAGCTATGTAACGCTTTTTTGAGTGAAGCTATGTTCGATTTTTTTTAGCTATCAATACTGATCCGTGCTTAAATAAATAACGTATGTTCAATCAATTTGCAAAATACTATATATATAACAATGTTTTAAGCGAATGGTTGGATCGATTTTTAAGTTTGATATCTTAAATTATTTAGTGAGATCCCATGAGTGTTTTGAAACAATTTGGGTTAAATACACTGACCCGTTATTGAATAAAATGTGTCTAATCGATTTGCTATAAGCTATGTAACGATTTTTTGAGCGAATGGCTAGATCACTTTTTAAGTTCAATGACTCAAATTATTCATTGAGATATAGTGAGTGTTTTGAACATCGATTTTTAAGTTTTACGTCTCAAATTATTCGGCGAAATCCCGTGAGTGCTTTGAAACAATTTAAGATAAAAACTATCATAGAACTAAATATCATAGAAATAGAAATATCATATAAAATAAAAGTATATTATTAAAAGTTTTGTGCTGTTTATTTTTTTAATACAAACTCATAATATTCAATTAAACAATATAGATTATATTCTCTAGACACGTAGGAATCAATTACAATTATTCATATAATGCATTGTTTGTGTAATTACTTTCTTACCTCACTGGGCAGATGGAACTCGATTAATCCAATTTCCTTTTTTTCATTTTCCCTCTTCCGTGTCGTAGTGCAGAGGACAGCTCTCCTCGAACCTGATGAACCCCGAACAGTCGGAGTTATCGACCTCTCTATTAATATTTTATAAATACGACCCAGTCCGCTTGTCTGATCCGTTTATTAGGTCTGCCCTAAGTCGATAGTCCTAGCATGTAGGTTTCTTTCTATCATATAAAAACGTTTTTAGTGACTTTCGTATTTTATTTTAGTATTAGGAGAGTAGGAGCTTATAGGAGCTCTCCTATTAGCACTAATTATAGCGCTATTCATTTAATTACATATGTGTTGAGCTCCTGTAGATTTTGTAGAAGTATATTCACATTTTCATTTATTATATATTACACTACAACAATTGTTAGCATATATTTACTTCAGTTTAGGATCTTGTTACTCAGCTTACTTAGTCCATATTTTATTGTACTTACTGTTTATAATTTTAATAAGCTTATTCACATTGTTTATAAATTATGTCTAAATATTATGTAATTGCCACAATTCTCTATCTTTTTGTATCTTGTCCGTTCTAGCCCTGATGAAGACCTGCAAAGTCGGGTCGAAACGTTGGCTTTCAATAAAATAGTTTTACCACTATTTAGCCTATTTATGACCGCAACCGCGGACCATCTCCTTCCTTTATAATGCAACAGTCAACTATTAAATATTCAATAAAGATTTTAGACCAAAACTTTGTACGAAAAATGATATTTGTCTAGAGTTGGTAGTTTAATTTTATCTTGGTGACAACAGTTGTTTTTCGATCTAGACATTTCCCCTTGAATATAATCTATTAATTATTATATTATATATAATATTATTTATATTATATTGTAATATAATCATAATTATTATGAAATAGAGAAGGAAGCACAATATAGCAATATTACAATAAAAATATAAGAAATATTGGACTTATATGAAGCTGGACAAGTTGAATTTATTATTATGATCACAAATTGGCAATAAAAATAATTACAATTACATATAAATATAAATTGTTAATAAGGCGTGATGTATAATATATTGTTTCTTAAACAGTAAAATAATGCACCTTTTAGTTTGTAATTTGTTAAAACACTAGTTATGAATATTTAAAACCCATTTTTGGATTTTTAAATAATCGGAATTAATTTTTTCTTCGCTCTAATGCATTTTATAATAGCAGCATAACATAATAAATGTTAATATTGATACCGTATATAACAAATTATAGTTATTTTTTGCACCTAGTGTGTCTAATGTTATTATTTACACGTCACGTTAAAGAACACAAGGGCCACACCCCCAGTCTCCACCACACAATCTAGACGTATTTCATATTTTTAGCTATATATTAACATTCCATATATATATTTCAATTTTTTAGAATCACTTTATTCTTCAAATTTATGTGATTCTTCCTGAGTAAATACTCATTTCTTAACTTAATTGTTGTTTCGCCCAATTAAAAATTCAGGGGACAGGAATAAAGGAATTCGGGTTTAATAAATATAAAAATTCAATAGTTCAATATTTAAGAAAATAAAAAAAGACAAATTTATATTTATGTAGTTTTTCTTTTTGTCTTTTTTTTATTTTGTTAAATATTGAACTATTGAATTTTTATATTTATTAAACAAGAATTTCTTTATTCCTGTCCCCTGATTTTTTTATTTATAACTTCTTCAATTTGCTTAACTTTAATTATGTTTGTACCCAATACATGGACTTAAAATAGGCTTAAACCGGATATTATGGAACAAAGCCTACTAAATGAAAATATAAAGGTTCGCTCCATCTTGAGGTCCGACTTCATTAATTTCTTACGTGACTTATTCCTCTCATTCTGGGAAATATCTTGGGCCGTTCATCACCAACTTCTGGCTTAAGGAGAATTAAGAAACCTGTCTCTCCTTCGAAATTGATAACCCAATATATTCTGTTGCGAATTACAATTTTGCATTCTAGCTTATGAAGTATATTAATCAATAACTATTTTATTATTAGCATTATTTTGATATTCACATGACTAAATGCTGATAAATTATTTTTTTTATAACAGTACATTAAAGACATGAGATCATTTGTGATATTGCAAAAGTTTCAAATTTTGGGTAATTTTGGAAATTCCAATTGTACAAAAATCTTCATGTAGATGTCTACATTAATAATTAGCGAACGATAGCTACTGCATGGTGTAGCTCTTTGGAAATTGTAGTCTACATCGGTGAAGGATTTTTTGCTATAAGTAATAATTTAAAAAAAAAAAAAAAAATATATATATATATATATATATATATACAATAGGTGATTCTGATCATCAAACATTTGTTTGGATGTACGGAGTTATTCCCAGGACAGAGGAGAGAGCGGGGGATCAACGCCAGAGTTAAAAAAAAAACCTGGTACCAGGACGACTATCAACCATCAATCCATTGACTCAGACAGTTTTCCAATGAATCATAAGTTAAATCAAGATTATATGTGACTTATACTGTTGGAAAACCTACCCCTTCGTCATATTGACTTTTATTAAGTTAAGAAAACAGAATTCCTAATAACGTCATAGAAGCTACTAAGTACAACTTTCCTAAATGGCTTATGCAATGTCGCCAGTTCACCCGTTGGCTTTAATTTAGCGGCTTATTTGAAATTTATAGGGATTTGGAAAACCTCCCCTCTATATAAAACGTGCCCTAGTATTCTAATTTAGTGAATTTATTATTTTTTTTTTTTTTGGTGTCCAGAATTTAGCATAAAATTAAGAGAAGATCCCTAGAGAATATATATATTTTCATATTCAGGAATAATTATAATGAAATTAAAGATGATGTTTAGCTTATGGAGGCGTGTAAGAAATTCCAAAACAAGGTAGCACACGTTATGAAGGATATTTTAAAAGAAGCCGTGCTCAGCACACAGTTGGGTGTGCTGAGATCTAAAGAATAGAAAGAGAAACAAAGAGTAAAAAAAAAATCAAGAATGTAAGAACATTTTTTCGTTGTAAGTTTTTGGCAAAGAAAAACACCAAGAATATACTTCATTGCAGAGAAGAATGGTTGAGGTGATGAGTCAAAAAAGTAAAAATAAATAAGTATATTTATAATAAATATAAATGTACCTATTTATTTTTACTTTTTTATATTTTTGAGTGATCACGCCAACCATTCTTTTCTTCAATTATTCACTAAAGTCAACCATTAATCCACAATTAGAATATATTTCTATCGAATAACTGGGACGTTTTTTACTTAAGTATCGCCAGTTACTTATTTTGAACTGTTACTGATTTGTACACATAATTTAATAAATTTTTACGATTGCACTAATGAGGTTGTAACCTGAATCAAAAGTGTATTGTTATAAGGAATGTGGATTTAAAAAAAAAAAGTGAACTTAAAATGAAATATTTAATTTTAAGAAACTTTAAACTTTTTATTTCATACAAAAAAAAAAAAAAAAAAACGAATATTAAACAGAAATACAGTTTAATATTAGTTTTCAATAAAACATTTTTTCTTTTATACCATGATTTATAAATAACTGTTATTTTACTAAAAATAACTGTTACTAAAAGTGAGCGAAAATACTTAAACAAAAAAGGCTCGAAAACTGGATTGTGCTACTTCTTCTCGGGATAGAAACTTGAGAGCGCATGGCTACTCTAATGAAAAATAAAAAAACTACATTAATCTAATGAAACTATTCATTAGTCACTTCAATCTAATCTCATACCCACCAGACAGTCCACCGTATACAAAGCAGCCATAATCGATGTGAGGGAAAATGAGAGAGGAAATTAGGAGCTGACGGGCTTAAAGCGAAACAGAATCACGAATCATTTATTGCAAGAACTTACAGTTTTCAAAATTTTCAAGGACGTTATAAAAAGAAAATTATAAATAATAGCTAGCTCATTATAAAGAGGATGAAATGATGAACATTTCCATCGTTTACAGTATGAAGGTTCGATTTTTAGTTTCTGAGTTATTTTAATCCATATCTTCCATAAAATTCGTTATTTGGTTTTCGTAACTATTTTTTCGTCTCTCTAACTCGGCGTCGCTTTAAGGTTTCATTTTGAATAATAGCTCATTACAAAGAGGATGAAATGATGAACATTTTCCTTGCTAGCAATATGCAGGTCCAATTTTCAGTTTCTGATATATTTTTTTTTTGATTAGTGAATTCACTCTCCATAAAAATTCAATCTACTGCGCAATACGTTTTGTTTTCGGAATCTCCAGACATACGCATATTACACCAAGTTGAAGTGGCTCTATCCATCCAACCGCCGTCTTTACTTCCTTGCCACCTTTCTGTACCAAGCATTCAGAACTCAGCGACCTTACTATATGTTTCAATTTAATTATTCAATTTAAATATTCCATTCAATCCCATCCCACTAAATCCCGTACTTCTGACCTCTATCCACCTCCTCATCGAACTGCTGCGTTTGACAAATCCTTTATAATTCAAGCCGTCTCCATCTGGAATACCATACCTCTCGATATTCGACATGTATAATCAGTTTCCTAATTTAAATCTCTCTTTCTTAAGCACCTACTCCTTTCCCAATTGATCATGACGCGTAGATAAGAGAATTTTTTAAGTTCACCCCAGAAATGATTTTCTTTACTTAAGTTATTTTATTTTCACATCTTTGTATTATATATATCTGTATGTATTTAATAATAATAATACTTTAATTATTCTGGGACGAGTCCCTTTAGAATAATACAGAAAGACATAAATTTGGGGTAAAGAGCTTCAGAGATACATAAATAAAGATACAGAGTAATTAAACAGTCATAGTAATAAAATTAAAAAGTATAAGTTATTTTCTAATTTTAATCAGTTAATAATTAAAAATTAAAAAAATAAATAAAAATAATGAAGAACGAGCTAATAATTTATATTCATATTTACATTAGTGTCTATTTACAATTTCATGAAGGCTGGATAGATAAGAAATGATTGAAGAGACGGGATTTAAAGGTAGGAAGGGTATTACTTTGTCGAATGTGAGAAGGGATGGAGTTCCAAAGGGATGAGGATCGGATAATGAAAGATCTGTCGAAAGCAGCGGTTCGGTGGGACCTTATATATAAGTCAGAAGACCGGGAACGAACAGAGGATTTGAATTGAAGGAGTTCAGAGATGTATGAAGGACGGTGTGATTGGATAACTTGAAAGAGGAAGGATGCCAGGAAATATTTACGACGGTAGGAAGGATAAAGCCACTTCAACTCTGCATAAAATTGGGAAACAGAGGCGTCCCTTGGTATCCCGAAGATGAATCTTACAAAGCAATTTATCAAACATTTTAGTTTCGCCTCGAGATCCCCAGAGACGTCCCAATATACCGTACAGCAATAGTCAAAGTGGGGAAAATTAAAGAAGTGACTAGGAGCATACGGGTTTCAAATGTAAATAGGTGACGAGAATAATTTATACGTTTTAGAGTGAGAATAGTACGGCGGGTAATATTGGATACATGGTTTTTCCAGGAAAGTGTTTGATCGAAGGTTATCCCAAGGCTTTTGATAGTGGGATAAAATTTGATGGGATTATCATGCAGGAACTGAGTTGGAATATTAGGAACGGTTTTAAGGAGGTGATTGGAGCCTATTAAGATTGCTTTCGTTTTTCTCGCATTCAACTTCAACTTGTTAGTTCTCGCCCAGTCACAAATCCAATCCAAGTCTTCTTGTAGTTTTTCTGTGGCAGATAATAGGTCGGAGGGCGGGAAGGATAGGTATATTTGGAAATCATCTGCATAGATATGGTATTGGGAGTGATGGATCATAATGGGGAAGGTCATTAATGTAGATAGCAAACAGATATTTAGTGTTTTTGTTTTATTTTTCTTCCAATATTTTAATTTTAATGAGAATTGTAAATATTTAATTTAATTTTATGACCACACAGGCATTTCTTCTGTATCTATAATTTGTCATAAAGGGACAACAGTCCCAAGATAATAAAAATCTATTTTCATTTAATTTTAAAAAAGTTCAAAACGTGTCTAAAGAAATTTTCACTTCAAAAACAGGTGTTTTGAACATGCATTGGCCGAGCTTTTAATCTTAGATAAAATAGCTTGTATTGTCATTTACTCCAAAAAGTATATTCAATTCTAAAATCCCTATAATACATTTTTCATATCTGGGCAGAAGTTTTTATATATAAAGAGAATTCCTTCCCTTGTGTATAGCCAGTTTCCCCACCGCCATTCCATGATTTGATAACCAGGCGATTGCTACACGCTACCTATCTTCGCTGGCTGATAGGAGATAGTGGAAGGCCCCACCGGTGATTAGGGCCTGAGTGATAAGGGCAGGCATGCGCGGGTGCGGCATTCCGCGCTCCCGCCGTTCGGACGTCCAGTCGCTCTGCTGCTGCTGACCGTCGCTGTTGATGTCGACAGTTGACTGCTTTGTCAATGATAAGAAAATAACCGGTTTCTATGTCTAGCTTTGTCCTCCTCGTCGATATTTAAATATCTCGAAATGATCGGACTTTGGTCTTATACAAATTTCCGGCTACGTAACAAAGAATGCGAGGTCCTCTTGGGTTAGTATATATTCATAATATCTATAACAATATCCTAATTTTATAAAAACAATTATCCTAGTTATCATTAGTACTTAAAATAAATAAACAACAACACCATGAAATGTTAATTTATTTATTTTGTATATCATAATTGCCTTTTTTCAAACTTTTTTTGTCCAAAAATATACAAAACATCTATATTCCATATGTTTATTCAATATAAATATTGTCAAAAAAAAAAAAAAATATATATATATATATATATATATATATATATATATATATATAGTCTAATTTACCATTATAATATAATGAAATATTTTAAGAATATTTTAGATATTTCTACAAATATATATGTCAATAGAACAACAATAGTTTGCATACACTTTTAGCAAAAATTACTGGTCGTTTATTCGAACAAAGTGATAAACAATAAATAAATATTATTGCTTCGATAACTTTTAGTCGATAATAATTATAGAAAATAAAAATTATAATAAAATATTCGTTAACATCCATATATTGAACTCCAGATGTATTTTGCTTTTCTGATGAGGTGTTTATTAAATATTACATGTCTCAATTAAGAAGAATTCATTGGACCTGAAGTTAAACCTTTTAGCAAAATGTATATACATATACATGTCATGGGTATATCATATTAATATACTATATTATAATAATATATTATTACAATATGTCATTAGAACTAGAAAGTTTTAGTCGTGTATAAGTTTCAATTTACCAATTATTTAGTGTCGAATAGAGTAACTAATGAATATGAACAATCAAATTTCGATATGTTGTAATAATCAAAAAATATAAGTATGGATATATATTGTTTATTTGGTAATATTTCTAGGTGTTCTGTTTCTTTAAATGATTATTTTTATAATATCAACGATTTTTTAATTTATTCTTTTTAAAATTTTAATTAACCTTTCTGAAGAAAAACATTATTTAAAGATATGACAAGGGATTAGAACACTGTCTATCAAAGCGTCATAATTTATCTATTTATTTTTAAAAGGAATAAATTGAAAGATTAATGGACTGTCTTTATTTCGTTTAAAATGTATTTAATATTATTATAATATTATATTGATTGAAAGTTAGATATAAACATTAATTGTTCGAAGTTCGATTTATATTCATTTATTCGTAAAAATTGTATATTAATTATAGATATCATCCTTCTTTATGTCGTAAAATAAATACTGGCTTGAATTCTTGTAGAATATCATAATTGATTCAGAAACTATTGAAGATTATCAATTGGATGAAAAAAGTAATAAGATAATTTGGCATAATAATTTACCCCTCAATTGTAACATATTAAATTAAGCACTTAGTTATATCTTTATTAAGGAAGGAGATGGTCCAGAGTGGCGTTCATAAATAGACTACGTAGTGGCAAAACTATTTTATTGTTTATTTATTTATAAATATAATAATCTGTCACGTGGACAATAATTATAGTGAGATATGAACACATTCACACCATTTATACAGAAAACACAAAAATTGTATTAAAAGCAAACGTTTCGACCCTACTTTGCAGTTCTTCTTCAGGGAGGTGTGTTCAGCAAAGCGTTTGTTTCACTTAGAATTGAGTCAGATCTAAGTGGAACTCCTTGCTGAACACACCTCCCTGAAGAAGACCTGCTAAGTCGGGTCGAAACGTTGACTTTTAATAAAATAGTTATTTTATTAGTCAACTATTAAATATTCAATTATATCTTTATTTTTTTTTACTTTTTCTGTTTTCCTTCTTATATAAATAATATTACTGAGCCTTTCAGTTGACAGAATGACTAACTCCGATTTCAACATTTTTGATTATTAATTTTGGCTATATTTCTAGTGGAAAAAAAACATACCTTTATTGACAGTTCTATATTTCAACACTGCAATCACCTACTCTGGAATCAACTTACTCTCTGTGTAGATACTATATTATCCAACTAGAAATATCACTAAAATTACTTTACTCAAAAATTGGAATTGGAGTTAGTAATTATATACTAGTCCGAGAGCCCGTGAAAAAAATATTGACATTAACTGAAGACAATTTTGAAAGCATTATTTTTTTGAGTATTTATAATTTTTAAAAAATGAGAGTCTTTCAATCGGGTCATGCCACCTAATAAAATAGCGGCTGATTTAAAGAATATTAGGCCATTGACTCGGGAATCATAACGGGATATTTATTGCGAAAAATGTGTGTGGGATTTTTTTATGCTTATGTATTGGTTTAAATATATATATTTTTTTACTTTAATTCTTCACACACATCTATCATATGTAATGATAATTAGCGGGTCTGCTGTCGGTCAAAGTACAGGTAGTGGCTTGATTGGCGTGAGGAAGAGGAGACTCCAGCGGCATCCTTTCTTGTCTTGATTTTAGTATATTTTAGTGAGCAAATCCCTCATCCTGCTTCTTTTCAGTCTCCTAAGTGTATTTTCGGCCATGTTAAATGTAGCCATATTTTATATTAGTGTGTTACAATGTCCATGTAAGTTATCGTGAAATCTTTTGTAGTGTGTCCATATGCGGTCGTTAAATATTGCTATTTAAGAGTCTATATGTAAAGCAATGTTTGTAACGTACCATAGAACTATAGTTATATTCCTGAAAGTTTTCCACTGACAAATTTATAGTTTCCATATGTTGGTCGTTTTGGCTGTTCCATAAATTTGAGAAGCGTAGATCCATCTGGGCTTAATGTAAGTGTTCAGTTTCGTTTTAATTTTGAGCGTCTTGAAAGAAGTAAGTATAATAGTCGTAGTCTGAGGTTTCTTTTTTTTTTTTTTTTTTTTTTTTTGATATGTGGGCAGGAATGTACATGAGCATTCTTCTGTCGAATGTTTTCTGTAAATTTCAGTCGATACCAAGACGTATTTTATTTGCACATCGAAGCGAAAGATATACTCTTTAAGAAATTAAAGAACGTTAAATTTTGCGTCGAACGAGTACCTAAACCTAATGATTTGGTAAACTGGTTTGGTCATTATAGCAGCAAACGCTTAAAAAAAAAAAAAAAAAAAGAAAAAAAAAGAAAAACTGAGACAAATTACTATAAATAGTACTGCAGCTGAAAATGAGTTCTCTAATAAGAGAAAAAGGCATATAATAAATGTTGTGGAGCATCAAATTCCGCGTCCGTTGAGTAACAACAGTTTCAATGTAAGTCAATTATATCTCTCGAATCGGTATTCGTTCTTGCTTTTTTGATAGAAAATAACTTTATTCTAGGACACAGTCCCTTGAGAATAACAAAGTTATAAGTTGCCAAAATAAAATCAATCGAAAAAAAGAAATAATGTAAAGAAAATATAAGGTAAACATTCTATATACAAAACAATTAACACTATGACAAGACACTTAAAATTATTTGTACTGATAAACCAGTATACACTTTTAAGAGAACAATAAAGAAGATAAAAAGATATTGAATTCTTCATTAAAATAAGCATTGTGTTTCTGTTGAGAAAACAAAAAGCTGAATCTGACAATATAAATTGCCTGATTAATATATAAATACTTCATCATTTAGCATCGATATTTGACAATGAATGGCATGAAATAAATGTATGTTGTCGAATGGTTAGCAACTATCTGACTGTTTTTGGGATTGGAATTGGAATAGGAGGGTTTTGAATGTGGATATGGATGGGGAATGTCGAATTTTGATAAAGAGAAATTGACAAAGCAAGAAATAAAGGAGTTTTGGAATGAAGAAGATCTGTGAGAAGGCATGTAAAGGTTAGAAGGTCGAAATCTTATGGACAGGGAATGGACTGAGGATTTGAACTGGAGAAGGTTGTAGGCGTAAGAAGGACGATGGTTGTTGATGATTTGGTAGAGGAATGTACCTAGGAAATATTGTCTTCGGAAGGAGGGGAAACTTCATGGCCATTTTCTGGAACTTTCAAACCCAATCTCTATAGAACAAAAAAATTTACTTGGCTGTTTTTAAGAAGGGAAGGATGATACGATTCATTGGGAGTAGGAGGTGGGTCATGCACTATCGCCATTGGGGGATGGATACCTCTATTTCTATTATACATTTGCTGTAAAATATATAATAATCTGAATATTAGATTGATGTTATACGTTATTAATTATAAATTTCGCATATTTTAATAAATAGGTTAACAACCAAGAGTATTCTTTTTACTCGGTAAGTTTCCTACCTGGTAAGGAAAATTGATTCAAAGGGAAAAGAAAAACAAAGATAGATGAAAAGTGAGAAGTTCTTTTTAAAAGGAACCCTTATTGCTTTAGGGCTTGCAACGTGACGACTCGGGCGAGTCCATCTCCTTTGCCTGGGGGGAGGGAGGTTTCGGTGTCCGTCTCTCTTTCGTTTTACACCTGAGCTTTTCAAGTGAACTGATGTCCTTCCTAAGAGGAAGTGCTCAAATAAATGGCCTTTTTTATATTTAGTAGTGTTTAATTGCACTTTAGCAGTTTTACTAATGTTAAGTTAAGTAAATCTAAATTTTTTTTTGGCAAATATAAGGACCAATTACTTAAATAGACATCCCGGATGAGTCGAGAGGTACATGCAAAACCCCAATAATTTTTAAAAACTCATTTGTTTTTATTCGATTTCATTAGTTAAAATTTTATTGGCTAATTACAAATAAACAAAATTTAACAAATCGTCGACTTCATGTTAAAGTAACCTATTGAATATTTCATAGTTGACCGTTGCATTATAAAGGAAGGAGATGGTCCGGGGTTGCGGTCATAAATCGGCTAAATAGTGGTAAAACTGTTTTATTTAAAGCCAACGTTT